GACTCCGATTTGAAGTGGTTCAATCATGGGCCCCTGATGAAACTTCCCCTCCACCGAGTGAAGGCCAACTCATATTGGGCGGAGGAGGACTTGTGCACGTGTTTATCAAGGGTCCTCCGGTACGGGCTATTGTGTATTGTGGATTGGTCTGTCAGACCATGGACTAAAGTCTAGGATAGGGGTAGGAGTGGATAGGTCAATACCGGATGGATGATATAGACATATTATACTGCAGGAACCCGCATTGGAAACAATGTCTCCGTTATGCAGACCTAGACATAAGGACCCTCAATGTAAACGGATTGGCCTCCTTCAACCCTTCAAAAAGACAAGCGATTTGGGATCAGTTGAAGGGCGTGAGCGGCAAGACGTGGCCTGATGTCATCTGCATACAGGAAGCCCATTTAATGGATAAACCGGAGAACCATCGGGCCCACAAAATTGTTTGGCCTTATCAAGCCTACAAAGCGCACGTGATCTCATCAGGGTCGGCAGGGGTGACCATCTAGATCCCGTCAGGATCCCGGATAGAGGTGATCAATTGGGTAGCGGATGAGGAATCAGAGAGAAGGGTATCAATCTAGGGGATGCTAGAGATTTAATTAATCATCATTTTTTGCATGTACGTCCCTAACACAACAGCAGATAGGGGACACTTCTTCACCCATCTTCAAGCTCTAGCACCTCAAGGAGTCCCTCTGGTTATTGTCGGAGACTTTAACGGTGCTCCTGATAGATGGATGGACAGATGGGGCTCACAGGACCCTTGCCCGGGCTACGTTGAGGAGGATGAGAGAATATTGTCAAATCTCTGTTAATCCTTGTCCTTGGTGGACGCGTATACATCCGACAGATAAAACCTATACATGCTACCGCACTAATGATCAGGCTAGACATTCAAAATCACGTATTGACCTAATCTTACTCTCGCAGGAAATTCAAAATGCCCTGCAACTCGCTACTATCTTCCCTCAAAGTCCTCACCCTGACCTGGACCACCGCCTTTGCGAAGCTCTCTTCTCCTTCCGCAAACGGCCAGATCAAGGGCCCGGTTATTACAAACTTAATACATCCTTGCTTGAGGATAAGTCATTTCTCACATATATTCACGATGTCTGGAATTTTTGAAGAAACCAGAAACACTCCCTCGAATCAGAAATCCGATGGTTTACCAACGGTCTCTTCTTTTTAGCCAGGAAATGTAAGGGATATTCGAAGTTGTTAGCAAGCAGACGTCACAGCGGTCACACACATGAAATGAATGTTCGCAGAAGACTCCACAACCTGGTTAATCAGGACAACTCTAATGATCACATCCAGGATATCCAAAATTTGATGGAGTTTTTTTAGACTCCCGGATTAGTTGATCCTGACGATTCGATTGAAGCAACATGTGATGCCTATTATTGAGTAATTAATTTTTTTTTTGTGTGTGTTGTGCTATCGATTCCTGGTCCAGTATATCGTAGCGGGATAAACGACCGTGGTTATTCTTATCCTCTGATGAACTGACAGAAGTGGTTATGTCAGCGAAAAACTAGTTTAAGGGATCGGCCACTACCCCTAGCCGATCGTATCTCTGTGAAATCTGGTTTACCGGCTCTGTGTGTAGCCGATTGGTGAACCTATGGTATCAGGAATCGTTGCTATTTTTTATTTTTTATTTTTTATTTTTTATGAGAATGAGTTGCTATGATTTATGTCACCCCTTTCCGTTGTAACTCACCTATTGCTTGATGTGCCTTGGTCTTCGTCGTTTTCCATATCGCGTGATGATGCTTGGGAATGGGTGGGGTGTTACTAGATTTTATGTACAGAGGATTGCGGGTGATGGAGCGCTATCAAGTTCTTCTGAGAATCGTCTGATGCTTACGAACTGCAATTGTGTTATTTGATTGTCCCTGCGGCATACATTTATTGTTGGATCCCCCTACTTGATCCTCTATGGATGGTCTAATGGACAGCTGTTATTAGGTGGAATGGAGTAGGCGGGATACGTAGGCTACGAGATAGGCGAATGATGTGTGGAAGGAGGAGATTTGTACATGAGCATATGTATGGGCGGATGGTCTGCTTAGTGCGTGGGATGTGCGATGGAATCTGCAGAAGTGTATTCACTGTGGTCTGTGGGGGCATTGTTTTTTCGAAGTGACTCACGTAAGTGGTAAGATTTCATTGCTGTAGGAAGGCATTAAGAGTCCGGCTGATTTACTGTCGCATACAGTAATGAGGGGGTTATAGCAGTAAGGTGTGATGTTTTAGTGAACTAGGATTATCGGTATGCTCTGAGTGCTTGTGCATCCTCGGGATCATCGAGTCGTGAAATGAGTAAGTCTGGGTTGTCTCAATTGCGAGTGAAGAGGAGGAGATGAATGGAAGGGTTCGTATGTCCTTGGGAGAATAGGCACCTCCGATCACCAGCGTATGGGTTCTGAGGTCCGATAGGAGATAGGAGACTTTGGTTTCTAATTGAGTAGGCAGGAGAGAATGGTTGGAGAACCAAGTGATGGGTGGAAGCGATTGGTGCAGTACATGAGATGGGACTAGTGTTGTAGTACTGGGTGTTCATCTATCGGTATGAGGATGGAACAGTGATTAGTATGAGGGGTATTGGGTTGACTAAATAAAGCTGGCAACATTTGGTGTGAGTAATGGTTCGGATGTCGTAAACACAAGGCTAGGAGTATGGAAGTGTCTCAACCAGCTTTTCCATTGTTTGTCGATGTCTGTGAAGATCAATATGTGAATTCCTTCTCTAATGATGGTGTACTGTTTGTGGTCATTCCATCTGTTGATTTTCTCATGGTATAGGTTTCTATTTCTGGAAAATTCTGATTTCCTATCCTCGTACTGTGAGCGGTCTTGAACATATGATTGGATGTTGGATTGAACGAATGAGTTTCTTGATTGTGTGAGTATGGGCTTTCCTTGTATCCTGACCAGTATTAGGAAGCAAAGTTACGAATGAGTAGTGGGCCTTGCTTGTCAATGGAAATACCTTGAGTGGTCAACTTGTGGGACATGGAGTGTAGGCACGGTCATTGGATGCATTTCCCGTAGGACGTAACACGGTATGGAGTGCACTGGTGGTGTACTGAGGCTATTTCAAAGTGTGTTTACACACACAGCATCACACACACACACACACACACACACACACACACACACACACACACACACACACACACACACACACACACACACGTGCGGCCCTAGCACCACACCCCCGCGCCAAGAACACCCTGCGCAACGCGTTTACCCGCGTTCAGTGAACGCGCGTTCACCACGTTCAAAAGTTGAACTCGAAACGCGCGTTCAATGAACGCGCGGTAACACAGCAATACTACACGTGTGTGTGTGTGTGTGTGTGTGTGTGTGTGTGTGTGTGTGTGTGTGTGTGTGTGTGT